CACGTTTGGTGATTTCTTCGCCTCCAACCTTACCATACGGAGATACTCTTCACCTGTTGCGGGAGGTCTGCTGGGTCTGATTATCGGTTTTCGGGAGACGGGGAGTACGGGTTGCAATAATTCATCTTCATTATCGCTAAGATCATCGATCATTCTCTCGCAATTGAAACCATCATACTCTAATGTTTCGTCGTCCGGTTGCACTTTGTGTGGAGGTGGAGAAGGGAACGACATCTTCAAAGTGGTCAACAGAAATTTTAATTTTTGTCTATATCAGGCCATTTGACAAGACTCAAGACTGGGGAGTGTCCAACCAATGAAATTCAAAAATCTCGACACCTTCTCCAAAAAAGGAAATGATCTTGTTCCACGATGTTTTGACTGCAATAAATCTTTTCGAACAAAACCTTAAAGGTTCTCGTGTCTTACAAAGGGTTTGCATTTGCATGTGAAGCCTTGAAACTGGAGTGTCGCTTGTGCACGTTCCCATCTACATAGAATATTTAACGCATGAAAAATTAAGCTGATTAAGCTGACGAGTTAATCACAACGACTACAAGGCGAGATGATGTGTGTTGGTGTAAGGCGATGGTGAAACCTGGGATATTCCGATTAATAATGTAAATTACTTTGGTTTTGGATGAATACACAGCGGTTGGTGAAAAAGACCATCCGGAGAAGAAGGAACCAAAAAAAAAGGAATTGACGATATTACAGTAAATTTAATTGTTTCAAGAATTAAAGTTTTTTTGTTTTTTTTTTTAAAAAAAATAAATTCGATATCATTGATATCATTTGCGACCAGACCAGCTCAATAAGATAGAGTTCCAGAAAATTATGGGTTAAAATGTGCGTGATGAAGAGAGTCCCACGTTCTTTGTATATATCACCGACAGAATAAAACATTCAAAAGAGATTTTCACCCCTGGCGTTTTGGCATGCAAGCGACGGTCATACACATGTCCACAAAGGAAATCAACAAACAAATATCATTTTTTCTACTGGGGATTCTTACTTATCACAAGGGTTCTTTTTTCGCATATCGTCACAACTGTTGTGTAGGCCTAGACAATATTAAAATTCCACATGGCAAATTTTAGATTTGCTTTCGGCCTTTGTACAAAATTACGCATTTGACGTGTTGAACCCTCGTCTATTTGATAATTTTAAGCTGGCATGTTTCACGAACTTCAAACAGAACAAAAAAACAAGGGTGATTTTCATCAACCAATGACACCGTCAAAACAATATTAATGATTCTTTGTTGATTTTTACCTTTGTTCTCGCAATTTCCCGGAAGCCGGTGAATTGAGTCTCTAACGTGGATCATTGATAGCATGTATTGTACATCTCTTTACTAAATTAACATCATGCAAATCTTTTGAATTTCCAGCAATTCGTTTCAGCTCAACTGGCATTCACATGGAGAGAACGCTCGAGATTTATCAAGGAAAAACGGAAAGTCGAAAAATCTTTTTTTTTAAATCAAAGTCTGCTAGATCGACAAGGCGATCGCAAGTAGAGGAAGTGAAGTCAGTCGGGTGCAACGATTATCTAATCTGTCTTTTGCGAGTTCCTCCACCTCAAGATAAAAAAAAATCGATAACTGGTTTTACACACGAAACAAGTAAGAAAATTGAGTGTGTCGGTTTCCTTCCAGTCCCGTATTGTTGGAAAAAAAACTTCCTTCTATGTCAACCTTAATGAACAATCATTACGAATTACTTGATATTGTCGGTTGAACAGATATTCGTGTGCGACATGAGCAGATATGGTGTTTTCGCTGATCGATCACGCGTGATCCGGCTAAAAATAGTGCGTCGATGAAACTGTGTTTATTATTCCACGTGACACTCTTTTCCCAAAAAAATAACTCGTTCCCCAAATTTTTAGTTTTGGGATCGTGTGTCACCGGGCCTTCTTTGAGAGAATAGTATCGTTTCAAAAAAAATTTCCTTGTTTTCAAAAATTCCAAGTTACCTTTGTGTTAGCGTTTTTTAATCTTGGGTCTGTATGTTTCATAGAATACCCTGGAGTAAATGCAACTGGATGATCTAATAACGTTTTTTTTACAATGACCGCATAAAAAAAGAAATTTGATTCAAAATTTTTTATATAAAAAGCAAGGAATTTTTTTTGCTTGGATATCCGCCAGAGATCAAAATTACGAAGAAAAAAAAAGAAGAAAAAGAAGAAAAAATAAAGTAAGAATGCCCAAAGACACTCACAGCAAGAGAAAAAATGGAGAGAAAAGCGTCATCCCGCGAAAAGGGAAAAATGTTCACCTGTTCGAAACTCCTCAGTTCAAAGAGGACCTGAAACGTTCCATCGACAAGAATTTCAAAAAGACCTATCCTCAAGGAATGAAAATCGAAACATCACTTCCTCTCGATCAACTTTTGGCTCCGTGTAAAAAAACTCGTGGGAAGAAGGGAAGGATCACCAGACCGCAAAATGCATTCATCCTATATCGCAAGGACAATCAAGCTAAAATCAAAGAGGACAATCCAGACGCGAAATTCGAACAGGTGTCCAAGATAGTTGGGGACCTCTGGAAGAATGAAAGTAACTCACGAAAGAACAATTACATTCTACTATCAAATCTCTGCACTCTCGTGCATCAAGATCTCTTTCCGAATTACAAGTTCAAACCAAAGTCCAAGGAGAACAGTGAGCAAATGACGAGTGCCACTGAGACCAATGAAGAGGCCGAGGGGGCAGAAGGAGAGGGAAGTGCGCAATCAGAATCGCACGACAATGACTCTCGAGTTCCTTTCGAAGTCGGCTGTTCGGATGCCACTCAAGGTGTCGTCGTCGATTTGCCAGGATCAAACCCATTATTCGCATCCTGTCCTGTCCCCGGAATGCCAATTGTGTACGATAATCCCATAACACTAACACACGAAGACATCTCGATTATCTATCCCGAAGAGAGTCCCATTTCCGATAACTTTCCGACCCTGTTTCCACAATTTGAACTGGACAATTTTACGTTGCAACCGGACTTTTTCGTGACCCCTCAACCGTACGCCCCCAGTGAGGGTTCGGAAGCTGACGCAAACCTGCTTTACTTGCAGGACTATGAAGACTTTCAAATTCCTACATTCCCGGTAGTTGACAATACCACGAACGCCGATTCTTTGTTGTTTTCGTACAACACCTCCTCGGGGTCCATCAACGATACGACCCAAAATTTTCAACCTTCCTACGACATAGATTTTCTGAATTCATACGGAGACGAGCAAATTATGCGATTCTTCCCGAACACACAGAATACTCATAATTAATTTTCACTTTTTTTTTTCATCAGGTGTTCACACACGCATTAACATCACCATCATTATTATATCATATATCATCATCTTTGTTTTTATTTTTCATTCACTTCACTTCACTTCATTTCATTTCATTTTTTTTTTTTTCTTTGAGATGTACATATAAAATTATTTATATAGGCGCAAATTTCACTCATCACAAATCATTCATTATTTTGAGTTCAAGACGAATCCAATGCTGTATAGAAAAAAAAAGGATTCTGAATCAATGCACGCGCCAAAAAATCGTATAGCATAACGGGATCAATTGTTTTCTTAAAAAAAAAAAAAAAAGATTTTTTTTAAAAAAAGGAAAAAAAAGCAAAAAAACAAAAAAAAAACAAAAAAAAACGAACATTTAGATACTCACAACAAGACAAGCATCATATAGATATCAAAACAAGCAATCAATCATTATCCACTTCTTTTCAAAACCAAAAAAACACATGTATAAGTCAAATAATTAATAAATTAACATACCGTCTAAGCATTCTATGTACCATATTGTTACGTAGTTAACTTTGACGAGTGATGAATTGTATATTATTACACACATAAAGCAATACACGCATACATACAGTACATACAGTACATACATACATACACACAGATGAATTATAACTTTGTACTTTGCATGCATTCACTTGGGAGTTTCAGTTCAACAAAGTGAGGAGGAGTGCAAACGACATTCGCATGAAAAATGCATTGTACCGAGTCGTTGTCCACTCGTCACCAAAGAGCGAACCCGAAAATTATTTGTTTGGTTCTTGTGTAT